TAGCCGGCCCAGGCCAGATGGCAGACCCTCCTCCCGGCCCTATCAGCCCCGTTCATAGGACTGGCCACTTCCTGCTGGCACAAAAGCACTGCTCCCTAATATAGGCAGGGAGGAGGGGGAGGGGTGGAGAGGGAGGATCAGTGCAGGAGGAGGGGAGGGGAGGGAGTAGCCGTGTAGAAGGGAGGGGGAAGGGAGAGGAGGAGTGGTGCAGAAAGAGGGGAGGGGAGGGGAGGGAGCAGCGCAGAAAGAAGGGGGAGGGGGAGAAGAGGAGTGGTGCAGAAGGAGGGGGAGGATGAGGGGGAGGAAGAGGGGAAAGGAGGAAGGGGGAGGGGAAGAGGACACAGAATGGACAGGGGCCATGGAACCCAGCCACTTTTCAAGAAAAGCCAGCAGGGTACTCCGTGGGGGGGAAGGGGAAATAAATGAAGGTAGGACGGTGAGGGGACAGGCACAGCATGGCGACCACCCCTTCCCAGACAGCTGCCCCTCACAGTGACCGTCCCCAGGCAGAGGGAGCAGCATAACTGGACCACCTCTCCTGCCACGTTTCTTCCTCAGGAAACTGGACTTCTGCACCATAGAGGAGGCAGCCAGGCTCCCCTACTCACAGTAAGTGCTGACCTCAGGACAGCTGTCCCCCATCCCATCACTGTCCCCCACAGGCAGAAGCCCCCCAGGAAGGAGCTGCACCCCAGCACCAGCACCTGGGCTGGCAGCATGATCCCGGTCAACCTAGGCCGGATGATCCCCAGAGAGCAGGACATAGGGCTCCACCAGCACCCCTCGTGGTTGGCTCCCACATGACGGCTCCCCAAGGATAGAATCCTTCACAATGAGCCCCCCACGATGGGTCCCCTCAACGAGCCCCCCAAAATGGGCCTCCCAGGATGGACTCTCCAACAATAGAACCTCCCATGACGGCCTCATTCCCCTCAGGACGAGCCCCCCACAATGGACTCCCTTACTTTGAGGCTCTTCACAATAAGCTCCCCACAATGGCCCTCTCATGACGAACTCCCCTCAGGATAAGCACTGAGTTCCCAAGGGGGGCCCTTCCTAGGCCAAGCTCATCCCAAGCTGTCCACTGGGACCAGCCAAGGCCCCTCAAAGGTAGCTCCCAAGACTGGGACATGCAGACAGGTCTACTGCTAAAGGGTGCCGGGGAGGGGCCCTCTGTAGTTGTACTGGGAGGCTCCCACTCTCTCACCGTCACCAACATTTTTCCCTTTTTCCAAGAGGGGAGACCCTCTGTGCTGTCCCTCACCCCCTGAGCAGGCTGGGCTGCTGATGGCCTGTGTCCATCATGACCCTTGCCCCTGGCTTCAGAGTCACGCCCCCAGGAGAGTCCCCAGAGTCCCTACTCATGTCCCTGCTTGTCAAGAGGGCCCTGGGGCCACCTCTCAAACTCCAGGGCTTGAGGTGGGCTCCTCTAGTGGTCAGTGCTGACCTTTCACCAGCAAAGGCTCCCTGAGGGCCGACTCTGCTCCTCCCCAGGCTCATCTACGCTGACCTTCCTGATCAACTCTGACCTTCTCCCCAACCTTGACCCCTCCTAGGGAGTCCTCATCCCCCTGACCTCTGGGATTCCCCACCCATGATGATCTCCCCTGGGGGTCCCCATCCCTTGACCACTCAGATTTTAGCCATGGTTCTGGACATCTGGGAGAACACGAAGGCCTCCAGGGACAGCGACGTCTGCAGGGACAGAGGCCACCTCTGCACAGCTGTCCCACTGAGATCAAGGGTGGGCAGGCAGCAGGATGGGCAGCGCAGGGGGGCAGGGCTGGGATGACAAGTGACTCCTGAGGGCCCTGCACCTGGCAGACCCTTCCTAGCAACCCTGAGGGGTGGGGTACCATCGTGTGCTCACTTTGGGGGACAGGTCGCTCTTTGAACTCTGTTGCTCACTCGGGTCCTGTCTCCACCTGCAGATAGCGGGCTAGTGTTGGAGAAGTCCCCTCAGTCACCCCTCCCCCACCTAGTCATCTCCCCAACACATCCTACAACAGGTAGAAGCCCCCCTTCTGTTAGCCCGGTCCCCTCACCAGGAATGACCCTTAACCACTGAGCCCTCACTCGCGCATATTTCTCTGGGAAAACAGCCCACAGAGAAAAGCACCCCTGGAGGTCTGCTGCCACCCAGCTTGTCCTCTCCTGCTAGCGGCTCTGGACCCGTGAAGCCCGGCCCCCTCCTGCCAGACCGCACCTCCCGGCACCTGGAAAGCACCGGGGCTATGAAAGTGGCAGAGCTTCGCCCGAAGGGGGCGCCCATGCCTCTCCCCCGCAGCTATCAGAGGGGTACTGGGGATCCCAAGGGGGTGGAGTGAACTGGGGACAGAACGCGGGGTAGGAGGGGAGGGGTCCTGGAAGGATGGGGTGTCCTGGGGGTGGGGTGTCCCGGGGGTGAGATGTCCCCCTGGATGGATGAGGTTTCTGGAGGGCAGGGTGTCCCGGGAGGATGGGGTGTTCTGGGAAGCCGTGGTGCCCTAGAGGTTGAGGTGTCCTGGAGGATGGTGTCCTGGGGAGTGGTTTTTCTAGGGCAGATGTTTCTGCGGGTGGTGGCTCTAGGAGTGGGGTCCCTAGGAGACAGTGTATCCTGGGGGACAGGGGTCTTGTGGGCGAATGCCGGGGGGTGAGTATCCTGGGGGCATGAAGGACGTAGGGAGGGTCCTAGGAGCTGGAGTCTTGGGGCAAACCGGATGGGGTTTTCGCGCGGAGCGGGAGGCCGCCGCTGCCCGTACCTTGAGCTGCATCTGCCGTCGTCGAACTCGAAAGTCCGGTTGGTGTAGCCCGTGCCGCGCGCCCCGTTGGTGTAGACGCCCCCCAGGCTGCGCGCCCCGTCGGGGAGCGGCATGGAGCCGGGGGTCTGGGCCGCGCGCCGCGCCGGCCGGGTTTGCGCGGAGGGTCCGCACAGGCTCGGGACCGGAAGTCGAGGGAGAAGCGAGTCGCGAGACCTGAGACTTGTCCGCGGAGCCCCTTCGCGTTTTCCGGCGCGCGCTCCTCCGGGGCAGGGAAGCGGGGCCGGGGTCCGGCTCGGGCGCCTGTGCGCGTGCGCCCCCGTTCCGCCGCGCTGGGAACCGCGGCCACTTGGGGTTTAGACAGGGACTGCGCGGAATCAGGGACCCGACCACGCTCCCGGGGGCGCGCCCCTCCGCGAACCATCGCTGCGCTCGCCCCAGGCAACCTGCCGTGAGCTCTTTGAGCCAATCCGAGCGCGCTGCCAGCTCCTGGGGGTTCAATGGCCTGTGGGGTGGTCGTGGAGGCCAGGATGTTTAAAGCAGAGAGGCGCACGTCCTCGCCCTGCTGACATCTGCTCTCTCCACTCAGACACTGTCACTTGGCAGACCATATATGGCAGGACCCTTGAGCTCCCCAATTCCTCAGAGCACCCTTTCCAGGGCAGTGAGGGACTGTCCTGGGCGGCCTGGAGAGGCAGCCTGTGATGGGGTCTGGTCAGTGGCTCAAATGGAGGAGCTGGCCGAATTCCAGGGCCCCAGGAGGCCCCAGCTGAGGGAGGGACTCCTGGGGAACCCCGGGGAGGGGAGCTGGTGCACACCGGGGTACTCAGGTGAGGCACAGCCAGGCTGCAAGCAGTCCCAGGGAGGCCGTGGCCAGGTCTCTTACCCCGCAGTCCTCTGGCCCTCTGCTGTCTGTCCATGGGTGTCCCACAGCCTGCATTCCCCTATCAGACAGCACGGTGCATGGGGCTGTGTGCCTGGTGGCTGGTAGATGATGACATGAATGTTGTGGAGGGGCACTTCTGAGCCTGGTGACACTGCTGAGGACACCATGGAGGCCCTTCTGCCATCTGCAGAGGCAGAAGAGGGCCAGGTGAGGTTCTGCAGGGGCTGCCCTACCCACCTCAACAACCTGGAGATGGGCCTGGCCCACCCTTGTCTCTTCAGGTGTGAGACTCCTCCAACGCTGAGAGGACCCCGTGTCCCGGTTTCCTGGCCTCAACACTCCGCTTCACACCCTCTGCAAAAAATAGCAGCTGGGCCGTGGCAGAGGTGATGCCACGGGGCAGGTGCTGGTGGCCAGCTGGCAGGAGGGCCTGGGTGGCGGAGCAGCAGACTGACCTCTTAGACTCCCCTAAGCATCGGTCGCCTTGTCTCCGCCATCCCCACATCACCTGAGCCCCAGACCTCAACCCCTTCTCTGCATAGCCCATTCATTACAGGTATCCACATGTCACCGCAGCTGGCTTGTCCCTGGAGTCCGGCCAGAAACCCTGGCTTGACCCCCTACCCCATCTGCCTTCAGGCTGCTGAACAGTGACTGGCAGACGGCCCAGCACCCACACATCACAGGACACCCCTCTCCCACCCACGGCCCAGCACTTCCTGTTGGGCATTCTTGGCTTCATCTCTCGTTCTGGGTCAGGCCGCGACAACGCAGTGACAGGACCTTTGAGAGAGAAGAAGGGGGCCAAGTCCTACTTTTGGGGAGATGGACCAGCCGTGACACCCGTGCAGTCACAGCTGAGCCACGGCCAGGAGCTCAGGAAGCAAGGATGGCCCTCCAGAGCCCAGACAGTGGCCTGTGCACATCCAGGACTGTCCCAGAGTAGACCCTCTGAGTCCTCCTCAGTTGGCTTGGCCACTGCAGTCCCAGGACATTCACACCCCAAGATGCTCCCCCCAGAAAGAGTCCTTCCTTTCAAGCACTTAAATGCTCGGCCTGCCCCATCCCTCCCCCAGGGCACGTCCTCCCTCCCTGCACCACCTCGTCCCCTCTCAGATTGCCCCAGCACAAAGTTGGGTCCTGCCTGAGACTCTGGAGTCCTGCACTCCTAGGCCCTGGACGCCATGGACAGCGCTGAGGCTCGCGGGTGCGCAGAGCGCGATCTTCCCACCCAGAAGGAGAGCGGAGGGCCCTGGGGACCAGGTGGGGGGCATCTGCCGTGGACGGGGCACCGGGGCCAGCAGGTGCGGACTGGGCAGCGCACCTGTGCGGGCGGCGCACACGTGGGAGGACACGTGCTGGGGGCGGGGCGCGCGTGGGCCCCGCCCGGCCCCGCCCCGCTCCCTCCATACGGCTGCGCGGTCATGGCGTCTGGGGGTCTGGAGCCGGGACGGGGGAGCCTTGGATCCCGAAGGTCTGCAGGCAGCAGGTGAGAAGCAGGGTGGCAGCTGGCGGCCGCGTGTGTCCTGACCCAGTTCCTCGGACGGGGGCATCTGCGTCCTGGCCTCGTCGCCAGCCCCACCCCGCCCGGCCCACCTGCCTGCGGCCAGGGTGTGGACACACGTTTCGGGGACCCTGGCACCGCGCTGGCGGACGTCGCCAGGTGCTCTTTGCTCTCTTGTCAGGAGCACACGCCCCCTCGACACCCTGGTCAGCTGTGAGGACCCCACTCAGGGTCCCCGAGCGCCCGAGGCCCAGGGTTCCGGCCGCCGCCGAAACGTGCTTAAGGAGCGGGAGCGCAGGTGAGGGACCTGGGGTGCGGCAGGCAGGGGGGCACGAGCCGCTTAGAGGGGTTCGGGTCGCAGGCCCGGTGTCTGGTGCCCAAGCCAAGGAGGCTAACGTGGGCAGGTGCTGGAGCCCCTCTGGGCCCGAGGTCGTGGGTTAGGAGGTTGGGGGTCCCTGACTGCTTCGCACCCTGATGACACCCCAGGGCAGTGGGGCCCTGGCACCCTGACCGAGGCCGCTCGGGGAGAGGCCCCTCCGGCTCCGGCGGGCACGCGGAGCGCTGTCACCGTCCAGGGGCCGGTGTGGTGGCCGGCACAGGGACCCTTTGCTTATCGGGACAGGAAGCGGATAGCCGTGAGCTGTGAGCGGCTCCGGGCGCTGCTGCCCTGCTTCGCCTCGCGGCGGGAGGACATGGCCTCAATCCTGGAGATGGCAGTGCAGTTCCTGAGGCTGGCCCATGCCCTGGTGCCCACCGCCGGGCAGCATGCGGTGAGTCCTGGCCACTCCTGGCCGCCCCTGCCCCTCACGAAGCGCAGGCCCCTCCCGGCTCCCTGGGCCTCCTGCCCCCACCTGTTCTGGTGTCACACCGGGGGCCCAAGTCAGCCTCCACTGGTCACTCACCCTGTTCTCATGGTGCTAGGGCATCACCTGGTGAGTGTCCTCCAAGTGGACCTTGTCCTACCCCTGCTGATTGGCCCATCCAGGCCCTGGCCTGCACGTGACCCTGACATTCAGCGCAGTTGCCTCAACTCTCACAGAGCTGCAGCTGGGGACCAACTTGGGGACCTGAGCCACTGACCAATGGCAGGACAGGGGCTCCCTGCAGTGTGGCCGGCCTCAGAGGCAGGGGGCAGGTGTACAGTACGAAGCTGAACCCTGTGGGTGGCCCCCGAGGCCTGTCAAGGTGCTGGCCTGGCCACCACTGCTGTCCCCTTGCCTCTTGTGGTCCTGTCTGCTGTCTCACTGTCCTGTCTGCTCCCAGGTGCCTGCCCCCTCCCTGGAAGTGTACCCTCGAAGGTGGCATTGCAGGACTCCGCTGGGGAGCCAGGCTGCAGTCAGCACGCCGGACTTGGGGACAGGCGAGCTCAGCCTAGCTAGGTTAGTGTCCCCAAGAGGCTGGCCCCGCAGAGCTGTGGTCGCACATCCCCGAGGACCTCCTTCAGGGAGGGTGGGAGCTCTGACCTTCTGGGCCCTAGCGACTGGGCATGGTGGGGTGATGGGAACCAGAGGGCAGGGGTGCAGTGTCCACTAAGGCAGCATGGCAGTGCTTTGGGGGCCTGAGGTGGGCAGCACACCCACACTGTTGTTTCTGACTATGGCCCCTTTGATCACCTTATGGCCCAGAGCCCTACGGTGACCCATGACCTCTTTGCGGCTCAGGGCTCCACTCTGACCCATGACCCCATTATGGCCCAGGCCCTTTGTGAAGACCAGGACCTGATGGACAGTGTCACCCTGTCTAGCTTGTGGAAAGCTCAGGGAAGACAGTCTTTCAGAAGGACAGGCCACTGACTCCAGGGGGTCCTGGCCACGTGCTTGGCCTTGCATGTCCGTGTGCCTCTTACACAGGCAGAGCTCTGTGGAAGGATCTGGAACTAACTGGGGACTGGGGAGGCCGGGGCAGAGAGGGAGAGCTGCGAGGTTGGAAGCTGCAGTCAGGCTGGTCCAGAGGGTCGAGGGAGCTGCTTTACTGTCAGGTGTAACCAGTGTCTTCCTAAGTGGTGAGGGCCCCATGCTTCTCCTGGCTTGAGGGGACACCCCAGTAAAGGAATAGGATCCTGGTCCATGCTCAGGGTGTCCTGGGGACAGTGTCCCGAGATCCCAGCTCAGAGGCACTGTCAGAAGACCTTGAGTGCTGGCCTTATTGGGCAGTCACGAGGGGTGGGGGCTAATTGCTTGGTGTTGCTTGTGAAGTGGGTACCCAGTACAGGGGTGGTCGCTCAGGGCAGGGTGCAGGATGGTCACGTGGGGTGGGGTGTGGTGGTCACTCGGGGTGGGGTGGGGTGAGTGGACATGGCACTAGAGCCCCTTGTGTCTTCTCACAGGCCACAGGAACCTTCACATGGGACACCCTTGGGTGTGGACGAGAGTGCAGCCCCCTCAGCACTGGCCGAGGTGCTGGGTGGGTCACCGGCTCCCCCTGGCCAGTTGGTACCTGGTGAGCAAAGCCTAGCTTTTGCTTCTTTACCCAGAGGTAAGCCAGGAGGGCTGTGCAGGTGAGAAAGGGGACTGTGCAGGTCTGGGGGAGGGGATCCTGGGGGCTGTGCAGGTGGGGGGAGGGGAGCCTGGGGGACTGTGCAGGTGTGGGGGAGGGGATCCTGAGGGGGGTGTGCAGGTCCAGGGAGAGGGGATCCTGGGGGATTTTGCAGGTAAGGGAGGAGATTCTGGGGGGCTGTGCAGTTGGGGGAGGGAATCCTGGGGGGGTGCAGGTCCAAGGAGAGGGGAGTTTGGGGGACTGTGCAGGTGGGGAGAGGGGATCCTGGGGGGTTATAAAGATGGGGGAGAGGATCCTGGGGGGTTTGCAGGTCCAGGGATAGGGGATCCTGGTGGATTTTGCAGGTCGGGGAGGGAGTCCTGGGGTGCTGTGCAGGTGGGGGAGGGGGTCCTGGTGGGCTGTGCAGGTGGAGGGGAGGAGATCCTGGTGGGCTGCAGGTGGGGGGGGCAACAGCGTGGTGGGCTGTAAAGGTGTTTTGCAACAGGGACTGGGTCTGCTTCAGAGGCAGATGTCCAAACGGCGGTGTGGGGAGGACTGTGCTTCCTGGAGGTGCTGGGACCCTCTTCCCTGTCCCTCCTGGCTCTGTCCGCCGTACTGGGCTTGCAGTGACAGCCTCTGCCGTGTCCTGAGGCTGTCGTCTTTGCATCTAGAAGGACAGCACTCAGAATTATCTGCAGAATCCCTGCATGCAGACAAGGCCACGTGCCCAGCTGCCAGCTCAGCCTTCAGCATATCCGTTTAGGAGACATGATTCAGCCCCTCACGTGGTCTCTGCTCCCCAAAGACAGGCCCTCACGCCCCCACGTTTACCCCTGGTTGCTGCTAGGAGCTCTGGGCACAGCGTTCCAGCCTCGGTGGCAGCGGGTGGTGGGGGCACCGTGATGTGGCTGTGTCCTGTCACTGGCTGTGTCTTGAGTCATGGCTCTCGCAGCCACAGCCCTCGCTGTGCCTGCTGGGCCTTTGTTCCCTGAGGCTGCCCAGCCTCGCTCTTGTCTGTGCTCTGTGGGTGGTTGTGTCCACTCTGTGGGGTTCCTCTGATGACGCTGTTGATTGCCCCCCCTGCCCTCTCCGCCTCTCTGTCTCTCAGGCAGTGATGACAATCAAATCCCCTGCATGTGCTCGTCACCCCCCCAGTATGATGGGGGTGTGCGTTCCTCAAAGGGTGGGTCTTGTTGTTCTTGGGGTCCCGTGGGGCTTGAGGACCCTTGTGAGTGGGCAGGGGTTCCCATGGGACTCCCGTGCCCACATGGTAGGGCAGTTGGCGTACAGGTGCTGAGGTCACATGCTAGGTGGGAAGGTGGCTGGGAACTAGCTTGAGGGTGAATGTAGTCAGATGGGGGAGTCAGCTCCTGTTTTGAGCACCTGGAGCTGAGCTGTACAGAGTGGACGCCTCCTCCAGAAAGACCCCTGGCCTTCATCTTTCTCTCCTCCATGCTGTGTGCTTGCACCTGCCTGACTTTGGGCCCTGTGGTCTGGAATTTCTGTTGGGGTACCTGGGAGTGGGCTCCACAGGACATGTGGGGGGCTGGCTGACCGACTCTGGCTTTTCTTGCAGTGCCCTCTAAGCTGAGCACCCCCACACTCCCTGGAGACCAGGCCTCTGAGGCACTGTGCCTGCCCTGGGATCCTCCCTCACGGCCCACCTCCCCTCTGATGAGTACTCTAGCTCAGAGCTGGCCTGGCCCGGCCGGGGGGACTAACAAAGCCGGGCTGCCCCCACTGAACGCCAGGTGGGTGCCCCTCACATGGACTCTGTGCTCAGGGCTTCTCACTCTGTGTCCAGCGGGTGGAGGAGCCCTGGTCAGCTCCATGTGACCAGATGTGGCATGTGCCTGACCATGCTTGGTCTCACTCATCCTCTTCGGCTGGGGCCGACCAGCTGTTAGTTAGTGAGCGCACCCTGGCTGGGGTGGGGGGCTGGCGCGGCCCCAGGCAGTCCGGCCAGCACTCTTACGTCTTCTGCCGGCCCCTCCTCAGGCCCAGGGCTCCCTCTGCAACACTACTGTCCTTCTCAGGCGTGGGGGACTCCTCTGTGCTCCAGGTGCCCCCGAGGGCCCGAGTGCTGTCCTGGGCATAGGGAGCAGAGCGTGGCCCTGCTTTTGGGTCTGACTCCTGCCGAGAGCCCAGGCCTCTGTTGGAGGGTTTGAGGTCAGCCGTGGGCTCAGGCGGGGTCTTCCCTTTCTGCCTAGCTCTGAGTCGGGACCTGAAGTGGACACAGACACAGCCTTCCTGCTGGCTGCCAGCCCTGACTGGTGGCGGGGTGAGTCGGGACAGGACAGGCGTGGGGTCAGTACGTAGCATGAGTGTTGGCTGCCATGGTGGACGGTAACCGAGGTCCAGCTGGCAGCGTGCGGGGTCCCTGCCTCAGCTCCTGGTCTCTCGTGCTGATGTAAGGGCCACGAGTGAAGGGAGGGTGTGTGGGGGTGACCGTGCGTGTGAGCCCGGGCACTGAGTGTCTTCAGGTGTGTGGGCACGTGTGTGAGCTTGAGTGTGGGTGTGAGTGCAGGTGTGAGCTGCGGAGGGCAGTGTTGAGTGGACACACGTGAGCTGCCTGTGGGTACAGAGGACGGGAGTGAGAGGAAGTGTGAGTGGGTGTCCCGGTGTGTGTGTGAACATGCGCACATGGGGGTGGGTGTGGATGGGGGTGAGCGCTTGGTGTCAGTGCTGAGGGCACCTGGGAGTGTGGACATGAGTGTGAAAGGGTGTGTTTAGGTGTGGGGGAGTGTGTGGGTGGGTCTGAGGGTGAGGAGGCGCCTGTGGAGCCCCCTCCCCCTGTCACACACACGTAAGCAAGAGCTGCCCGCGCTCTCAACGCCTGGCTGTGCTGATCCGTTCCCTTTGCTTCCAGGTTCCCTGGGGGCCCCCAGCGATGGGGCCCCTACCCCCGCGGACAGAGTGGAGCTGGACGCCCTGGGGGACACAGGTCCTGGTGTCCAGGAGCTGCAGGACAGCCTGCTGCAGCAGTGGGGCCGGGACCTGGGCTGTGCAGGGCTGGCACTACGTGAGGGACCAGACGCCCTCTTCCCAGACCTGTTCACCTGCCGGCCGTGAGCCCCAGGAGCACTGAGGGGCTTTTGGGTTCCACCAGCAGCCGTGCTGATTGCAGCCGCTGCCTGTCAAGGACATTTATCAGCAGAAGGGGACTTGGTGGGGTCTATAACCAGGATGACGTGTACGCAGAGCCGAGTGGCTCTGGCATCTGCCCTGGGATTTTGTTTCTGTGACTGTGGCCATGTGGGGCTCTAAATAAACTTGTGGGGTGCCTCAGGGAGGCTGCTCCCCACCCAGGCATCAGCGGGATTAAAGGTCTGTGGGGGATCACTCATCTTCTCTGTCCCCCCTGGAGCATCCAGACCTGGCGTGGGCTTCCACTCTGCATACCCAGGGGCTCCGGCTCCCTGTTCCCACCCCAGTCCTCTGTGGTTCAGTTTATGTGACCTGAGCCCTCGTCTGCAATCCGCCCTGGCCAGGGCTGCCCAGCGTTGAGTCAGATACCACCTTATTGATGATGGATTATTCGTCATTGGTGTCCCAGCTGCCTTTGTCACCCATGCAGGTGGGCAGGGGCTGGTGAGAGGCCCCCTGGAGCTGGGGAGGGGGCTGCCTGTCTTTGATGGCTAACCTGGCCCTTGTCCCTGCCCCAGGCGCCGCCCACCTCTCAGCCCGCTTCCACCCCCAACTGCCTCTGTCTTCTCTGGCCTCGTTAGGGGACCTCCACTAGCCCCACACACAGTCTTGTGAGCATAGTGCTACCCTGGCTGCTGGCTCTGCCTGCGCCCACGGCCCTCTGCTCCATTCATTCCCGCCTGAGTCATTGAGGACAGCAGTGGGAGGGGCAGGAGGAGCGACACCAGCTGAGGGCCTGGGGGTGAGTGCTGGGCAGCTGCGGGAGGTGGGGGGGAGAACCCGCTCTTGGCGGCGGGCTGCGTGTGCTCCTGTGCGCACACGCACCTCAGTGCAGACAGCGCTGTCTCCACGGAGGCCCCCCAGCCTGTGCCCTTGTGCCCACTCCCTTCCCCTCTGGAGTGGACAAGGACAGGCCTGTTGGCAGCTGCTCGGTGGGCAGTGACAGCAGCCCCTGCCACTAGGATTCCTGCACCAGAGGTCTGCAGACTGGCCACAGCTCCACCGCCAGGCTGCTTCCCCTGGTGCCTTCACAGCGGTCAAGGACACACCAGGTCCTAACCATGCTGCCCTGCACAGCCCCCGCCCCATAGGCCAGCTGGCCTTGCTGCCACCCCAAGAGGTCACGTTCTTTGACCTCAGCCTGTAGGGAGGTGGGGAGTTAATTCAGCATCTCTACCCCCATGCCAGGTGACTCCCCAGGGAAGGTGACATGACCTAACCCTGAGAGCAGAGCAGCTTTGAACTTGACCTCCATATTGGGCCATCTTCCCTCGTTCCAGACGTCCAGTCCCACTGCTGACCGTGCAGCCCCTGCTTACCATTGCCTGTGGCACAGGGACTCAGAGACCATTCAGCCTGCTGCCCGGGCCCTGTGCCCCGTGGTGCTGGCTCAGGGCCATTACCACACTCATGGGTCAGGCAGTAGGGGAAGGAGCGGGCAGCAGCGGCGGGCAGCGGGCCTGGCAGCCCGGGACAGGGTGGAGCAAGCTGTGCCTGTGAGCACCCCCACCCCAGCTGCTGTTTTGAGGCAAATTGCGGCTCTTGTTGGCTGCTGATTGTAAGGAGGCCTCTGGCTCCGCGTCACTTTGAAAGCGCTGAACAAGCTCACGTGCCGACGACAGGCTTGTGTTCAGGAGGGGGGCTGTCCACCCCCGGCTCTCCTGGAGACCTTTTTCTGCCCCCAGTTTTAGTCACTTGTCTGGAAGTAGGACATGGCCAAGCAGCACAGAGCAAGACCAGCAGCAGGGCCTCCCGCTTGGTGGGTCCAAGCTGCCCACACAGCAGCCAGTCTAAGCTGGATATGCTGGCAGGACAGGCTGGGCCTTGGTGATGGTCAGTGGGCCAGGCAGTGAGCTGGACCAGCCCCTCCAGGAGCTGTCGACTCATCCCCAGCCCCCTGCACCACCCACACCCTGACCCACTCCTCCTCCTCCTTCCCCCAAAACATTCTGGAACCTTCCTGACCCCTCTGGACACCTCCGGTGCCCCCTGAGCTCACACACTACATTGACCCTGAGGCCTGGCTGTAGCTTGAAGGCCTGGGGCTGGTTGTCTCCTCTCTGCAGGCCATGGATGGAGGGGACAGTTAATGCTCATGGACATTTGTGGGCCCTCAAGACAGTGAGACCCAGGAGGCCCAGCACAGGGAGGGGTGCTGGGAGAGTGGGCAGTGGGTGTAAGCCCTGATGGTCATCTGAAAGGGCACAGGGGGAGACAACTGGAGTGCCCTCCCACCTGAGGTCCTGGCCACTGCCTCACCTCCCCATTCCAGTGTGTCCACCCACAAGTGCAGGCCCCCGGCTCCTGCAGAGATGCTCCCCAAACGACAGGCCTTCATGCCCCATGTTTACCCCGTCAGCCAAGAGCTCTGGACAGTGTCCAGCCTCTGGAGTGGGTGACCGTGGTGTGGCCTGTGTCCTGTCGCCAGCTCTGTCTTGAGTCACAGAATGCAGCCACAGTCATCACCGCCCCCACAGGGCGATGGGGAGGGGAGGTGGGCTCTAGGTTGTACACTGGGCTGAGGTGGGAGTGAGAATACAGTCAGGCCAGCCTAGAGGGCTCCGTGGTGACCCGGGCCAGGAGGAGACCAGGGCACGCAGTGGGTCTCACGTGGGTCTGCCACTGAGTGTCCACCCAGTCTGTAACCTCGGACCTTGTCCTATGGGCCTGGTCTGGACCTTACCGGTCTAGGAGCATCTCCCTCTGACCTGTCCTCCTGGTCTCCCCAGGGCGGCCGTGCACCCCCCATGGACTGCCCAGACTGCTCCCCCTGCCGTGCTGGGCCTCACAGGGCCTCAGTGTACTGAGCCCTGCCTCTGTGGATCTGACCATGACGTCCAGCTGGCCCGGGGCAGTCTCCACGGGGCAGAGCTGGGGTCTTGGTACAGCTGTAAGGTCCTGAGCACCCCCCGTCCAAGCCATATCATGCACTCCTGCTCCCCCGGCTGCCGACAGCTGCGGCCCCTGCACACCAGGCCTGTGGCCACAGACCCTTGGAACTAGCTGCCCTCTCGGGGGATGTTCACCTCCGGACATGGGCAGTGGTGTCTGCGTTCCTCAGCTGGTGCCCCCAGTTCTCCACTCGTCAACGTGAGGCTGGGGCACCAACCTGCAGACCGCTCACTGAAGGTGATGGACTCTGCCCGAGAGGGTGTGACCCCTTCTGGCTGAGATCCATCTTCTGCCATGATTGTACCCAGCTTGGGGCAGCCGTGGGCTGGACGCCTCCTGAGCCCGGCCCATGGTGGGCTGGGTACTAAGGATACAGGAGGGTCAGGTTGGACAGCTGAGCTGAACAGCAGGGTGGCCCCAGATCCAGACCCCACCACCACCTCTGAAAGGCTGCCTTGGGGTCACCTGGGGTTTCTAGCTGACAGGTAAACGGATCTATTTGCAGACCTGGGGCTGGAATGCGGGCAGCTGATGATCTCATACCCTTGACTTCACCACTGTGGGGGTGGGTCCAGCTTGTGCAGTTTTCACCTGAGAACATGAAGATGGCTGTGCCCAGGGGGACTGGTGTGTGTACATGTATGTGTGGGCACGTGTGCATGCATGAATGTGTACACGTGTGCATGTGGGACTGGCCTGTGTACTGGTGCGCGCACACATGTATATGAGCACACAGCCACATGCACATGCGTGTGTGTGCACGTGCGTGGGGGCAGGGTACAGAGGGTGACCATGTCCTTGGGGACAGTGGTACCTGCGGGAGAAGATACCGTCCTGGGAGTGGCAGAGGGGGTGGGATTGTTCTGCCTAAGAGAGTACCTGTGTCTGGTAAGGGGTGGTCACACCCTAGGGAGTGAGTGTCCTGGGATGTGCCAGTGTTACGGTCAGGGTTGTGTCCTGAGGCACATGACCATGTCCTATCACTATGTCCCTGTTCTGTGGGGATGCCCGTGTCCTGTAATGATGCCCTATGTCCTGTGGGGGTCACCAATGTCCTGGAGGTGTCTGATTTTGGAGGTGCCTTTGGGTGGGTTGACATTGAGAGCTTAGGTGCCCCTGTCCCAGGGGAAGGTTTTGATTCCCTGAGCTCTCGGGATGGTAGCTGCTCTCCAAGGCCCTGCTGGACCTCACTGCCCTCCACCCCAGTGTGGTTCTGCTAGTTGGCTGCAGTCTGCTCTGGTCTCGGGTGGCCCTGGCCTGGTGCAGCCGTCCCTGTGGACTCCTCCCTTACACAGAGTACACACTGACGAGGAGGAATCATTTATTGGCATTTGGGGAAGGTAAGGAATGGGCTGATCAGTGAGTGTGGGCTGGGTGGTCATCTCTCCGTGTTGGGGAGCTCCAGGTCCTTGGAAGCGGTGAGCCTCGAGGGGCCCTGTGAGAGGAGGCGGCATGGTGGGGTCAGGCCGCAGCTAAGGGCAACCTACGTCGTCCTCTCACACCCCACTGCTCCCCCACCTTTCACAACTTGGGACTGACCAGCCCTCTGTGACCTCTGACAAGTCTGCTGTGTCAGCCCCTCCAACTCAGGCTCCCAGAGTCCCCTCCCTGTGCCCACTGCTGCAAGTTCCCCCTCTGTCTTCAGGGTCGCGGGTTCTGTGCTACGGACCTGGGCTCGGGTCTCTGTCCTGGCACAGAGCTGGACACAGTTGCCCAGTGTTTCTGAACCTCATAGCCATCAGGTGATGGGGGTACCTGCAGCTGTCCTGAGCCCCCAGCCCTCTCAGCACAGTGGTCACACACCTGTCCCCGCCTCACTAGTGTCGGGCCTCCAGGCAGCGGTCTGTGGAGAGAGCAGGGCACACAGCTCAGAGCCTACGTGTGGGCACACCCTGAGCCCGACTGGTGGGCGAAGGAGGAGGCCACCCACCGGTCTTGGTGAGGTCAATGATGTTCTCTGCGCTGATCCCATGGCTTTCACAGTACTCTTCGAACTGCTCCTGCATGTCCGTGCTCATGTTTGGGGTCCGGCC